CTGATAACCGTCACTGCGAAGCTCTGAAGAAACTAACATCTTTAGATTCAGGAAAGTAAAGTGCGAAGGACTGCTTCGCACCTCGGAGGAAAAGAGCAGAAACCGTGTGTGACGGTGAAACGGTCCTCGCTGCTCAGAACTCAACACATTTCACCACAAACACTTTACTTTGACAAGTTTCATCTATTTCAGACACTGGAAGAGTGTGAAGCAAAAGAGTTTTTTTAATCAGGAAGTCATTCATTTAGTTAAACCTGCTGTGAGAAATTAAACGCTGCAAAACTAATAATTTATTTGCAACTATTAAAACTTTGAAAAGTTTTGAAAGAACCACAGAGGCAACGAGTCGTGCAGGAGCAGACACAGGTCTGACAGAGTCCTACAAACACATTTTGGCCTTATTGAAACATCCTGTTGGGTCATAATGAAACTCAACAGAACCCGGCCTCTTGCCTGGCACCGACCCAACAAACCATTCTATTAAATTGACTCTGCTCATTAGGATGCAGAGGGAAAGGAAACAGTTCCTGCAGACGTAAAAAACAATCCCATAATGCTGCAGATTCGCCTCCCTGAAGGAGGAAAATTTAAGTATCAGTAATCTGATTAAGCTGCAGCTGTGATGCAAATACAGCTAAAAGTAAAAACATTTGGTGTATTTAGTCAAAAAGGAAGAAGCGTGTACAGAAAATGGATGGATGGATGGATGTTTTATTAGTGGTTCAGTATGAGGTGACAAACAGCTGACTCGTCACATTCCTCTGTAAACAGAGCAACTATCTTCTTTTACTTTTCAGGAAGTAAGAGCTTTTTTTTTGGTAGTTTCTATTTTTTTTAGAAAATGATCTGCCAACAGGAGGTGGCACTGAGGTCAAAGTTAAAAACCACAAAGAAAGCTGTCATTTTGGTGCAAAGAGGTTTCAGAAAAATATAAATTTGAGATCATATTTTAGGAGAGACTGCAACAGATTTTACTGTAAACAATCAACAACAACAAAACAAAAAACAGTTTGAGCGTCAGGCTTCAGCAGTCATGTGAGCGCTACAAGCTGTCTCAGGTTCAGTCAGGAGGGAAACCTTCCATCCTCAGCAAACTGTGTGTGTTACACACAAATACACACATAAACACACACATATACACAAACAAATAAACACACAAACACACAGAAATAAACACATATACACACAAATACACACATATACACACACGGGATGCTTTGGTTGCTGTTGAGTTGACAGATGGATTGAATTCAGTTGTCCCAATCGATTAATCACAACAAGAGTAACAGAAAGTGGTTTGTTAGAAGAAACAGGCTGAGCTGTGATCAAATGAACTGGTGTTATTTCTATAAACCTTAGACAAACTCAGCAACAGCAACAACTAGCCACCAGACTGCAACAGGCCACCAGACAGCAATGTGCATCCAGACAGCTAACAAGCAACCAGACAGCTAACAAGCAACCAGACAGCTAACAAGCAACCAGACAGCTAACAAGCAACCAGACAGCTAACAAGCAACCAGACAGCTAACAGCA